AAAAAAAAAAAAAAGTGAAGGTTTGTCGACTGTCCACTCCAGGCCAGCCCTTTGAACAAAGCTGTCATGGTGAGCCCTTGCCACTGCCCTCTGCTGCGCCCGGAACCAGGCCTGGTGGCAATGATGTGAACTCGTGTCCCCCAAACTCAGTGACAGTGAACAGAACGCGGATGCAGGGAAGGCTGTGAAGTGTGTTCTGTGCCCGGCTGCCGCTCAGAGTCGGCTTCAAGGGGACAGGTGGCTGGAGAACTGACACAGCCGCGTGAGGCTGGGTACAAGAGACAAGAGCAGGGGACAGGTGCATCTGAGAAAACACACCACTGGCAAAGGGAAGGTGAGCGAAGGGGCATTCCAGCAGTCCAAGCCTGAGCCGAGAGGCGGGCAGGCGGGACAGAGGCAGGGATGGGCCACCCGGCAGAGCTGCGGTGTGAAGCCCAGAATCAGAATGCACGCTGAGCGCTCGGGAGCTGGGGCAAAGGAGGGGCAGGCTGGGAGTGTATGAAGGAGCGGGTCCCGTAGCCTGCGTGGGTCAGGCTGCGCGTGTTCCCCAGGCGGGCCCACTGCTGACACACTGGGGCCTCCGTTGTCCTTCACGGGGCCCTGGAACACAGTCCCCTCCCCGGTGACCTGCGTTCCTCCAGAGCGGAGCCCCTGCTGCTGTGAACCTGCAGGCCAAATGCGGCACAAACTGGGGAAGGCTGTATTTCCTTCGTAAATCACATGAAACAGGTATTAAATTGTGCCCCAAAATGTTGCCAACGGCCTAACTGCCTTCCCTGTAGTGGGATGAGCTTCCCAGAGCTGTTCGGGGGGACGATGCTGAAGTGTAAAGTACATCCTGGCTTCGCCTGCTGGACCCGCCGCCTCACCCCCGGACCGCTGCCCGATCCCCTCCCCTCCTGGGCTCTTGCTTCCCCCAGAGCCCATCTCCCACGCACGGAGCAGCACAGTGGCTTGAAAGGGAAAACAAGGCCACCTCAGTGTCCAGCAAGACCAGCCACACTTAAAAGCCCGTCCTCTGGCGACAAAGCCTGTGTGACCTGGCCCCTCCGGCTCCCAGCTCTGCATGCCCCTCTCCCCCTTCCCTCCTGCCAGGACCGCGTCTGAGGCCTGGGTGCCCACGGCGTGGAGCTGGCACTTGGGTTCCGTCTGTGCAACGAACGCCCAATTGTGGGCCCCTCCCTCCACAGTGGAGCACAAGCCCACGGAGGCCAGGGCCAGGGCTGTGGACGCCCAGGGTGACCACACTGCCTCCGGGTGGGCGCCGGACACTCGGCAGGGAGTGTGGGAGCCCGGACAGGTAGGGCCTCGGGGCCTGTCTGCTGCCAGGTGCTCAGCAGACGGGCTCGTCATGCTCCCGGCTAACGGCTAACAGAGGTCACTCTGCCACACTGAACGCCTTTGCCTACTTTCCGGCGCCCAACCCCACCCCCACTACCTCGAGGCCCTGCTCGGACACTGCCTCTCGTCCACGCAAGCAGTGCTCAGCACCCCCCCACCCCCAGGCCCCTTGGCTCTCCTCTGCCTTCCTTCCACTGCCAAGCCTCTGGCCGAGGCTGTCCACATCCCCATGTATTCAGCTGATGGTGCGCAGCCTTCCGTGCCAGCCACTCCGCTCAAACCACCCTGTTGCTAAAGCACATGGAACCTGCCTAAGGCATCTGCCTCCTCACGAGCCACGGACGCACTGGCCCTCCTGCCCGTAACACTGCCCTGCCCCCTTCCTGCCAGTCTAGCCGCCCCTTCCTCCCGTGTACACCCCCCGACCTCCGCTCACCCCGCGGTGCAGTGAACACCGAAGCCTGTAGGACCCCCAGCAGATGCGCTCACATGCTCCAGCCTCAGCCTGGCTTCACCACACACACCAAGCCTGCCGTGGCGAAGACGGGCTCAGCCTCCAGCTACTCAGTCCCTGGTCTGGATAAAACAGCAAAGCCATTCACTCTGTCACCAGATCTCAGACCCAGCTTAGGGGGCATCGAACCCTCATCCCTGTAACCGTTTCACTGGCCCTGATCCCAGTATCTCTGCCTGGGCTCTTCCTGCCTGACTACTTCAACCGTCTCAACCCTCCCTCTGTCTTCATTCTCTTTTTAAATGATAGCTTTACTGAGACATAAACCCACATACCATAAAATCCACCATTTTAAGTGAATTAAGTGGGGTTCAGCTCTTCAAGGTACAGCATCACCACGGTGTCAGTCTAGAGCACACTGCGCCAAAACGGAAGCCCACAGCCACGAGCAGCGACTCCCCGTTCCTCTCCCGCAGCCCCTGCGGGCGCGGACCGCCCTTCCGTCTGGGGGCCGCCTGTCCTGGGCACTTCACAGGCAGGGAGCCACGCAGCATGTGGCCTGCGGTGCCGTCTCAACTCCCGGCCGCTCGTCCACCTCACTCCACCCTTCATGGTTACTGGATGAAGCTCTATAAAATATAACTCACATCACGTCACTTCCTTGCTTAAAATCCTTCAGCGGCTCCTGGTTGACTTCCGGACAGAGCTCACCTGTTCGGTGCCCACAGAGGCCCTTCCCAGCCCGGCTCCAGCCACTCCCTGGGGCCAGTCAGGCTAGGATGCTTTCTCTACTGCGTCAAACTCTGTTTCCCAGAAGCACCGCACCACGCCACACGTCCGCCTCTTTGCCCAGGTGGCCTCCCTGCTGGGAACACCCTTCTCCGTCCATCCTGCAGCTCCTACCGTCCCGCCCGCACCGACCCGGGCCTCCACCAGTGGTTCTGGAGCCTCTGCCGGCTTCTACAGCCCTTAACCAGCATGCCTGTGAGCCACGGGCGGCCCTGCTTCTTGCGCCCCCACGACACCGTCAGCTGCTGAGGGCACAGACCCTGTTTCCTCCGCAGTGCCTGGCACATGAGTTTAAAAGAAGCTCAAAAGACACACATGCCCCTGAATTTCACAAGATATTGCAAAAGGCGCGTGGCTACGAGAACTGTGCAGAACATAAAAGGTGCTGTTCAGAGAAAGCCAGGGGTTTGGAGGTGCTCCGTGATGAAACAATGGGGGTTGCTGTTTGGGCATCAGTTTCTCAGGCTGAAAACCCAAAACACATACTGATCTGCCCTTGAAAACTGCCTGTAGAAGTTGTGTTCCAGAAAACATTCTCGTTTTTACAGAACGTAAACAAATACATGTAAGAAGTCATGAGGCAGCAGCAGTAATTTTGGGAGGGTAAAGGACGTACCTGTAGATAAACCTTCTTCGCGCCAGGCACACAGTCCGCCAGGCGGCCGAACAGCAGCCGTCCGACTCCTGAGGTGACCCCGATGCACATGAGAACCACCTCTTTGTTCTCTTCATCTTGAAATCGTTCATTCACATATTTCATCTGGAGGCCAAAGAGACAGAGGGACACTAAGTGTGGTGGGAACACCGGACAGCTTGCAGGCTTGGGACACGGGCCTTTGTGCGGCACGGCAGACGCCCACCCCATCCAAAGTCAAACATTCACAGTATTCGTCCTGTGAGTTTTCCATGAGGACATACGAAGCAAAGCTGATTAGCTTAGCTTGCATAAAGACATTTCCTAAGTGGTCTTTTCCAATTTATAATGAATCACCAGCACAAACTCTGTAAGTTAACATTAAGCCATCAGCTGAAGGGAAAAAACACATTTGAACAACCCACACACACGGCCAGAATAACCCTCGGCTCACCTGTCAGTCACCTCGGCTCATTCGCCGGTCACCGCTGCCCACGTTCATACTCCTTAGGATGGCATTAAAAGCCACTGTGACATGTCACCCATCATCTTTGTACCTTTACTACCCACTGATCCTTGACTAAGAAGAAAACTCCAGTGCCTGCAGGACAAATGCCCACATCACAGCAGACTTGCTGGGGAGAGGACACACACTTCAGGTGGTCATGGCCACCCAGGACCACCGGTGTTGGCAATCTACCTCCTGGGCCCTTCTTACTTTAAAGAGGAGTCGGAAATCAGGAATTTTGTGGGAAATGTTGGCACCTTACTTAAATTTAGAGCCCGATCCAACCCACAAAGCCAAACAACACGTGTGTGCAAACTGCATTAGGGCAGCTCTGACCTGGGCCCTGATCCCACCTGCCCAGCAGAACGGGTTCACGCGTGTCTCCTGCATGCGGATGCGCCCTCACCACCGCACGCTCCCACCTCCTTCCCTTCCTGGATCCTCCCAGGTCCTTAGGCTCCGCGTGACTCCTACGTCTGCAGTCGCCCGGCACCCGCTTCTTGTCCCTGCCTCAAAGCTTCCCTGGCACTGGACCCCGTGCCCCCACCCAGCTTTCCTAGCTTCCGCCTACACGTCCCCTTGAGTGAACTGTTCCATGTCAAACCACACACACAATCCACCTGCTCCAAAGGCAACGTGTTCAGCAGAAACGTGTCCTAAGCCAGACCCATCCCCCTTCCAGCCCACCCTCCCTGCTTTCCGGGGACACTGCGCCAGTACCCAGTACCCGAGGCCGAAACCGGGTACCCTTCTGGGGTCACGCCTCTCCCTCTCTCTACATCCATCATCAGTCACCACCAGATTCTGGCGGTTCCACCTCCTAAGTCTCTCTGAAACACTTCTGCTGGACCATGTGCCCACACTGTTTCAGATAGGGTTCTCCCAGCCCCTCACGTGCCCCTCACATGGACCACTTACCGCCCCTCATGTGGACCCACTTACCGCCCCTCACATGCACCCACTGACCACCCCTCACGTGGACCCACTGACCACCCCTCACGTGCACCCACTGACCACCCCTCACGTGGACCACTTACCACCCCTCACGTGGACCACTTACCACCCCTCACGTGGACCCACTTACCACCCCTCACATGCACCCACTGACCACCCCTCACATGCACCCACTGACCGCCCCTCACGTGGACCCACTTACCGCCCCTCACGTGGACCACTTACCGCCCCTCACGTGGACCCACTTACCACCCCTCACATGCACCCACTGACCACCCCTCACATGCACCCACTGACCGCCCCTCACGTGGACCACTTACCGCCCCTCACGTGGACCACTTACCGCCCCTCACGTGGACCCACTTACCGCCCCTCACGTGCACCCACTTACCGCCCCTCACGTGGACCCACTGACCGCCCCTCACGTGCACCCACTTACCGCCCCTCACGTGCACCCACTGACCGCCCCTCACGTGCACCCACTGACCGCCCCTCACGTGCACCCACTGACCGCCCCTCACGTGGACCCACTGACCGCCCCTCACGTGGACCCACTGAGCGCCCCTCACGTGCACCCACTGACCGCCCCTCACGTGCACCACTGACCGCCCCTCACGTGCACCCACTGACCGCCCCTCACGTGCACCCCCACTATAGCCACTAATATGTCTCTTGCTTGGCCCCCTACCCCTAAATCTCTAACTTACATTCTCTGCAATCACCAGATTAGTTTCAAAATTAAAAACAGCTCTCCTCTGCCCCGGATCCTCTGTGGCTCCCAGAGTCCTTCACGGTCAAGCTCCAGCTGCTGGTTTGCCAGGCGAGCCTCTGCCCAGCTGCCTCCTCATGCCCAGGTCAGCACTGCCACCCCATAAAGCCATGCCCAGCCGCACGTGGGCAGCTGAGATTAAAATGTGGATGGTTTGGATCTGAGATACGCTACAGACGCGCAACGCACAGCGAATTTAGACTTAGTGGGAAAAAAAGCATCTCATTAATAATTTCAAAATACTGATTTGCTATATGGGTTAAATAAAATATAAAACAAATTAATTGCACTTTTTAAAATGTGGCTACTAGAAAACTCAGAATTACAGATGTGGCTTGCACCATGTTTGTGCTGAACAGCGCTGGTCTAAGAAACCCACCCGTGGCCACAAAGGTCAGACGGCCGTTGGTGGCAACGACCTCACAGTGCCGGTTCCTCGTGCCCCGGCCGCTCCCCTCAGGTGAGGCGCCGCAGGAAGGCGGGCTCAGCACAAAGCTGACGAAAATGAGCGCCGGGCCCAGGCAGGTGAGCTATGACCGAGCGGTCGCCGGCTGTATTCGGGGCTTGAATCCAAACTCTGACGCACTGACCCACTTCAAGGAGTAGCCGAAGGATCTATTACAACTTTAAGGAACATTCATTCGTATTCAAAAAAGCCTGAATTCACCGGTCAGTCTGTTGGCCTTTACTAGAGGCTTCCGTGCTCTGCCCAGAGCCCTGATACGGAGCGTATTGGGTCTTTGGAAAAATGGTAAATTCGATAACATCAAATTATGCATAAGTGGAAACAGTTCTTCAAGTGTAAGGGGCATTCCACCGATGTTACCTCCGTGTGAAGCACCCCCTCTCCCCCCGGCCAGCCAAAATCTGCAGACCGACCTCGTTTCTCAGGTCAGTGAGTGAGGGACCCCGAGGGAGCTGGGGCGCGGCCTGGGGTGCTGGCCTCTGCGCCCTGGCGGCCCTTTCTCTTCGAGGGAGCAGTCCCTGGGGCTCCGGGGCGCTCGCCTTGCCATGACTGCCACTTTTTACGAATCTCTGCCCATCTCTCATCCCCTGGAGAATGGCACGCTCCCCAGTTTTGCAGAAAGCATGGATATTAAGCAAAAGTGGTATCTCTAATGCAGAGTTACATGGATAGGGACGTGAAATGTTGAGCACGCTTCCACATTCAACCTAATTTACTTAAACCAATACTGAGCTTATACGTGAGGCCACCACCTACACAGAAGATGGGGCAGTTGTTCAAAGTAGATGAGCTGAACGTGTAAGTACTTCATGTCAGGAATAAGTCATTTACTGTTTTCAGACATCTGTTTAGCCCAGGACTGCACAGCTGTCTGGGTGGCCAGAAGCCAGCCCACCGGCAGCCTGGACACCGCCAGCTCCGGAGATGTCTGCCGTCACCCCCTCAATGATGTCTGCTGACTACAGAAGCCATTTTTGGATTGAGCAAGACCCCATTTACTGTTTTTTATCCAAAGATGACTGAGAACTAATCCCCAAACACCTGCTCAGTCTATATCCGCGAATGGAGGAAGGAAAGACAATGGGGCTCAGCTGCCCTCCTGCAACCAGCCCACCTCACGCACAGGTGGCATGGCCCCTGGGGGTGGCATGCTTCCCGCCAGCAGGCTGAAGGGGCTGGTCCCCGAGGCAGGCCCTGGCCCAGAGGGCGGGGCAGCCTGGGAAGGGGAGGGGGACTGCCTGCTGGACGGGCCTCAGCCCTGGCTTCTCCCCTCCGCCTTCGTCCTAAAGAGGATGCAGGTTCCAGAATTTGGAGCATCGTTCTCCACCCTGGACCCAGGCCGGGGCCTTCACCCTCACAGAGTCCACTGTGCAGGAAGGTGAGCGAGTGGCCATAGTAAAAGACCAAAACCAGCCCCAGTAAATCTGACATCGAGCTCTTCGACAAACAGCTTCACGACAGAAAAACGCCCAGTAGAAAGGAGCCCCAAACCACGGCACAGAAGCCCTTGAGGTCCAGCGGCAGCACCTGCCTGCGGAGCAAGATCGCTGGTTGAAAGGTCAGACAACGGCCTACAGGGCTGTTGCTGACCTCTCTGCGGCGGCCATCAGCCTCACCTGTGCCTCCCCCTTAAGGCAATGGGAGGTATTTGCTTTTACATAATGTTTATTTACGTAACTTATTACCTAAAGAATATGATAAAACTTTGGTGCAGGTAAGTTAAGTTCAATGTCCTTGGGGAATAGTGGTTAAAGAAGGGGAAGCACAGGGTGACCGTCTCCCTCGGCAGACTTGAAGTGCGGCAGGCAGTGTATGAGGGAGGCCGGGAAAGCAGGGTGAGGACAGGCCAGCAGCACAGGGCAGGCTGCGAGAGGAACGGACCACGGCCGCCCGCAGCTCTGCGGCATGTCCCACCGGCTGCGGCCTCTGACGGGGACGGACTCCCCGCACACGGCCGCCCCGTCCCTGTCGGCGCTCCAGCTCCCTGACTCACTGCTCTTCGTGTCCAGACACATCATCGAGTCAGGAAGAGGGGTGGACAGCAGGTAGGTGCGTGCACTCCCCTGGCCTGGGGGTTGAGATCCTGTGGCTGGGACACAGGACCTTACCTCTTACATTACGCGGCGCATTCAACAGCGGGGTACTAAATGTGACGCAGCACTTTCAGTGGGCTTGGAAACTGAGTATTCCTGCAGCTTTCTGCTCTCCGACAGGATCACTGGATGCAGAGGGCGTGCGCTCCCTCCCAGAGAAGGCCGGCCTCAGCCCGCGGCCTCTCGTGTGCATGCAATTTAGAGAAGTTCCTAAGAGTACATCCACTCAGCATTGGAAAAGCTGCCCATAACTCTAGAAGACCACTCTCTCTGCTTAACACAGGCCTTTTTAAAAGTAATCGCGAAGAAAAGAGCCTTGGCCTCTTTAAAAACTAA